ACACAATGATGAAAGGTAAAAACATGTGGCCGTACCAACACAGTATGGCTGGGATCCATTCCACTTTCCTGATGATTCACATTGCAGAGATGGAGATCCAGACAGTACATAACCTTCATCACAGGTAAAAGTACAGGTGGACTGATAGCTGAATGAGCCCAGAGGATCGGAGCATTTCATGGATCCATGTGTAGGCTCTGACATCTTCTCACACTGAATCACTGTAGACAACAGAGAGGGAAAGCATTACGCCATGACTCCATCACTGTGTAGGAAATAATAACAATCAATAAAATATAGCATCTCAGAGTCTCTTAGTAGCTACTGGTTAATGTCTCATCTCTTCATTTATCTTGTTACTGCAGATTTCCAACTCACATTCACACAAAGGTGGCTTTTCTGACCATTTTCCTGAGGAAGTACACCTTAGAGATCTCTGCACACTCAGCTTGTATCCTTCCTCACAGGAATATTGACACAAGGAGTCATAGGAGAAACTGCCATACTTGTGAGAGCAATTTTGGGATCCTTTTTCTGGGGCAATAACTTCGCTTTTGTTACACTGCACAGCTGAAAACAAATAAAACACACAGTTAGATATCAAATCCTTTACATGACTTAAAATATGATTTAATCTAGGCGGTCATTTTTTTTCATACCTTGGTCACACTTGTCTCCAAAAAACCCTTCAAAGCAATCACATTTGTGGCTGTTGATGGTTTCAACACACTCTCCGTGCAAACAGGAGTCATTCTTACAAGCCGCTGCAGAAAGCAAATGTACTTTCATAAGTCTTCTTAATTATACTCAGAGTAAGTATCTCAGTGCTGCTGAGTCTTTGATTTTATTTATTTTTTGCTGTGTTTTACTTGCATCTATTTCAAAGAGTGTAAACACAAAAAAATATTTTATTTTAAATGCTGGAATATGCAGAAAATAGGTTTAAATGTTAAACAAATTTCTTCAAGTCAAACATGTTTGCATATAAATACATTTTTGCTTGATGCAATGTGCAGAAAGTTAAAAGATTAAAACGAATAAAACAAATTTTAAAAAGAGCCTTTCCATTTGATGACATTTTATATGATGGATTCTGCATAAACAATAGAAATGGGCTGAAAGGTCTATTGTTGTATTACCTATTCAGGTTGTAACTAAGTAACTAATTACTTTTGAAAATAAGTAACCAGTAAAGTAATGGGATTACTTTTTTGGAGACTTAATCATTAATTAGTTACTAATTACTTTTTCAAGTAACTTGACCAACACCGATTATACTACAAGAACATGTCAAATAAATAATTGCAAAGCTTTTAGATCAGTGAGGTTATGAACAAGAATATCAAACATGAAGCAGCTAAAACAAGCTGCTCTAGTATGTTAGTCCCAAACTGTTGCTCACCTGTGTAGCACAGAGCAGTCTTTGATTTTGTACATCTCTCGTCATTCCACTTGCTTGGTTCTTTATCTCTTTTAATGTACATCTCCACACAGTCCTCACTGATTTTTGCATTTCTGTCACTCTTGCTGTTGTTCGGTTCTCCTTCTGCCCAGTTGGTTGCTTC